TATCTCTTATTTTATTTTAAAATTTGATATTTAATTTATAAAAATATATATTTATAGCGATAAATTCAAAACGATATGCAAAAAATTTCGGTATCCAATACGTACCGTTCCAGTAACAAAACCGGTACGCATGCCGGTACAACATTGACTACTTTGATAATTATGCACTTCCAAATATAGATGAGTTAGTCGACAATTCCTCTAAATAAGGTACTCAGTTTCTGTGATGCTTATTTTGGGTATAACCAAATCCCAATGGCTGAAGAAGATCAAGACAAAATAGCTTTCATCACAGCTAGAGAAACATATTGCTATGTGGTGATGCCATTTGACCTAAAAAACACAGGTGCAACATACCAGCACTTCACAAATAAAATCTTTGTACTCTTGAAAGGAAAATGCGTGGAAGTATACGTCGATGATTTGATAATAGAAAGTAAAAGTTTAGACCAACATCTGGAAGACTTGGAAAAGGTTTTTAACATACTGTGGAGCTACAACTTGAAGCTGAATCTTGCAAAATGCACATTCAAAGTAAAAGCTGCAAGTTTTTAGACTTTATGTTAACCAGTAGAGGAAATGAAGCTAACCCAGAAAAGGTGCAGGCAATAATAGAAATGAAACCTTCAACTTCAATAAAATAAGTGCAGCACCTCACGGGAAAAATTGTAGCATTAGGCAAATTTCTATCAAAATCTATTAAAAAATGCTTATCCATTTTTAAAATCTTGCGAGGTGGAAAAAACTTTGAATGGACGTAGCATTGTCAGAAAGCCTTTGATCAACTAAAAACATACTTATCGTCGCCACCTTTAATCAGCAGACCCGTCCCAGGAGAAACATTATTTTTTATATATTGCGGCTACTGTTGAAGCAATCAGCATAGCTTTAGTAAGACAAGACCAACAGAAGTAAAAACCTATGTATTTTGTAAGTGAGGTGCTACAGAAAACTGAGACAAGAATCCCGTAATTCCTAAAAGAAATTCTCCAATGATCTGATACATAAATATTTGAATAGATTCAAAAGTGTAAAGAAACAATCCACTAATTCCATGCATACCTGCAAAATGATTCATTTATATACGCCTAGTAAGGCTTTACCTTTACAAGTAGCTAGCATGATTCGTTGACTTTGTTTATACCCAAACAGCACTAGAAAAATACACTAAATAGATTTCAACCTACATTTTAGTATGGTTCATATCACACGTTACTTCCGTTAGTATGTGTTAGAATGTGCTGCGCAAAAGCTTTACGTTAACATAATGAGTACGTGGTTTGATGTTTCTCTGTATGTGTGAGAACTCTGGTTCATTTGTTTATTCTGCTTTGCAGTTTTTGAGCCCTGGGCTGACTTCCTATTATTTGGTATTTTGGTTGAACAGTAGAAGTGCCAGGCTACCATCCATGATTATATATTCTGTGTGAGACTAATATTGGCTTTCCCAATATGAGGGCACCTGGTGAGGTAATGTTACATTTGCATCCATATGTTGCATCTTTGCTCCTGAAGTGCGAAATCTTTACACGGAGTACGACGATTTGAGATTTTAATGACATTTTGGATAGAACTGAAGAATAATAATACAAAAATGTAATATGAAGAACCAACATTGTAATCATACTTTCATATTCAAAGTTATAGAATTTGAATTACAAGATAAAACAGAGGGCATTCACTCTGTAAGTTGATCACCGGCAATCAGAATAAAAGAGGAACATTATCTCTTGTACATAGTCAAATCAAAACCTGGAAATTTTGGTTCTTACAAATATGTATGTCATAACCTGAGAGGATAGCTCCTTTATCCATCAGTTATTATGCTTTCATGCATAAGATAAAAATAATAATGAAAGGATAGAAGAACAAAGATGGAATGAATGAAGAGAAGACAGTTTGTAAGTAGTTACTTTGCAAACAGTTGCCTCCGCCTACTCTTCTTGGCGAGTAGATTGGCTGCTTCTCCAATCACAGTTTCACTAACTAAATCTTTAAATACCATTCGTTCAATATCTAGAACTATCCCGGAAATCTCACCGTGAAATTCAGTCCAACTCTCTGATCGAAGCATCACATCTTCCCACAGAACTGTTTTCAGATCATGTTCCTCAACCTCTAAGATGGACTCTAATTTCTTGGCTTGAAGCTGCTCTACCTCTGTACACAATTCTTTTAGAAGCTTTTGCGCGCTTGAAGTCTTCTTGGCCAATGTTGTGGACTTTACCCATGGCTCTGGAGAGGCTCCAACTAAAGCTAACTTTCTGACAAGAATCTCATTCACAACATCAAATATGAGCTTCCGATGGAATTTCTCATTCCCTAGCTTTGAATGGTTGACCTTTTCTGCATTACTCTCTTCCTTCAAGAGTAAAGAGCTTGCCTTGGTCTGCTCCAAAACAAAGAAAAGCTCTGGGTTGATAGGGTGCCCTGATGGGTGAAGCTGAAACTTTGACAAGCCAGAACTGAGGTCTCTGAGCAGAAGGCCAGAGGCTAGCAATATCTCAGAAATGTATCTGTGGTCTGGATTTTTGTTCTCACAAAGCAATGCAATGTAATCTGTACTGGCTTCATCATGATTGGAGTTCAGTCGTGTAAGCTTCTGAACCAAATGCTCGATATTTTGTAGTTTCTGGCGATTGATTTCTGAGGCAGGACCAGAGCTCACATTTCTAGATAAGAAGCCATCTGCTGAACACCATTGCTCTTCAGGACTGTAATTGTGATCTTGAGCACCATCACCTGCTGGAATGAATGTCCAAGTAAGATGAGTATCTGAAAGATGGCTGAATTTTTCTACAGGATAAAACCAGGATTATCTATTCTTAATTTTATGGATATTTGCTACTAGAGTTATAATAAAAAGTGGCAGGTACTGGGGAGGTAAAATTTACAGCCTGCACATGCAGCATGTACCTAAACTGGAATCACAACACTTTGTATTGGGTATACAATGCAAAAAAACCTTTGCTAGCAAGTAATTCTTTCTCCTTCCTTTATTCATTTGTTTATATACTTACTACTTTTTCATACTTTCAGATTGAGCAACAAAAGTGGTGGGGTCATTGTGCGAGTGCTCAAACTAAATTGAGCTGCTTCATGACAACAATAGACAATGATGATGACAATGACAATGAGCTAAATTATGGTAAAAATTCTCTTTTTTTTTTCCCTTGTTAATTTCTGTTATTGGATTTCCTTGCGTAGTATGAATACACAATTTGTTTAGAAGATAACCAAACATGGTTATATAACAGATGTACTCCCTGCATCCCAGAATATTAATCTTTTTTTTCACTCAGAATTTATATTAATTGTCGTTTTTTGATATTTTAAGGGAGACATTTTTTCCTACTTTAACCTATCACTATCCCTCAATTTTAATTATTTATCCTATGACAAAAAGTCTCTCTTTATCTTTTAACTATTTTTTAAGGGGAATACATGTAAAAACATAAACTGTCCCTAAATCCTTAATCTGCAAGAAAAATCAAAAAACTTTGTTAACTCTGGCACAGAGGGAGTAGCATGAGAGGCAGTAGTTTCAAACAGTCTCACAGATCCTAATACACATCTGAAATGATGTAATGCAGCTCAAGGAAGGATTCTTCACTCCTTACTAACAACAGAGCAGAGGATGATAGATAATGTTCTAGATTTTCATCTGGTATTGCTAATGACAGCCTAATACACACACATCAGAAATGATGTAAATTGTCAAGCAGCTTTAGGAAAGATTACTTGCTCCAGACAAACAGCACAGCACAAGTTGACGAAAAAAAGTTCTGACATTTCATCTGGAATTTCCAAGGACAAGCAGGTTGATTTTAAAAAACAAATAAATATACATTTACTAATCTATCTTGCTTGGAATTTGTCCCAAGTTCCATTCCTAGTAAGTTTACGTCCAAAATAAAATACCTTGCACAAATAGAACTTTACCTTCAGGACTGTTTAGTATCTGCTTTACTGGAGATAGTGCATCATCTTTGTATACCGAGGCATCAAGAACAGAGACAGGACTAGGATGTTCTGGATCAACCATAGCAAGTTCTGCCTGAGATGGATATTCACCCAGTCTTGGAGTTGATTCCTAATGAAAATAAAACAAAATTGTCAGGAAACCAAAAGTAAAACCTTCGTCAAGTGGTGACGAACTAAAATCACTTACTTTCTGCATTAAGCCAGAAACTGAGTACTTAGAAGCCTTCATGGACGGGTTATGGCTCTCATACACTTCAATGGACTTGTTAATACTGGTGACTTCCACATCTATCTTTGATTCCAAGGTAATATTGCTGTCTGACTGCACAGAAATGTCATCCCCTTGGTAACTTGAAGTTCTTGACTCATTGCTTATCTGACTCAACTGGTCATCACTTAGCTGAATGTTGTGAGATTTTGCTCTACGCTTATCACCAGGTGAACTTGACTCTAATGGATACTTATTAGATTGCCTTCCGGGTTTGCTTGAATCAGGAGGGGTAGGAGGACGGGATAGCCTGTCCAATTCAACCTTTTTCTGCTGAAGTCTTGGGCTCACAGATCCTGAGTTCTTTATAGAAGTTGTCGGATTTTCTTTTGGAGGTTTTGTTGAAGACTGAGTGGCTCTGATATTCTTGCTAGCTGTTCGCTTAGCAGTAGAGCTGGAAACAGAGTTACTGCAACTGTTTTTGGGAGCATGGTCTTTTGCTGTCTGACCATTTTTTGAACCTTTTCTATTTTCTGGTAATCCTCCACTTTGAATCTTGTGGAGATTGGAAAGACCATCTATTGGAATCACTGAAGATGCAGGAATTCCGGCTTTTTCAACAAGTTTTGCTGGTTTCATGATCACAATTGGGGAATCAAAGGTCATGACAGAATTTGAACTCCTGATTGAGGTAGTGACATTATTCTTCTGAGGGCTTCTGTCACCTCTCATATTCTGATTGGGGCTTCTACATTTTGCTTCATAATCAGTTGGAGTGGCTAAGTTTGAGGCTTGTTCATTTTTTTGGGTCTGCAGGAGTCCCTTTGCTTGCATTGCCTCTATTATCTGTTTAAGAGCTCTGAGATCCTTTCCAGATTGTTTAAACTCTAGATCTTTCAACCTCTTCTCAATCTCACTATAGACAGAAGGAAACGAATTTGGTGGCTTTGCTGGAACTTCTGCAGCCTTGTTAGCCTGTCTCTGAGAAACTCGACTTGCATCCAGCTGCTTCCATGGTGCTGGCTCGATTGGGAACCTTGAACTTGAAATAGGTTTCATGACCAAATCAGGATTTTTCCACCGTGGTGATGTTGGGTCTTTCATTGAGGTTCTTGGGGAGATAGGAGTGCGGATAAGCCTGTTTGCATCACTTGCTCTTAGTGATCTTGAGAAAGGATCATTACCTTCAACCAAACCACTTTTGATCAAACCTGACAGATTATCACTGGGTTCAGTAGAATCTGGCAATGTTTCCAAGCCCATCAACTTTGCTACAACATTAGAAGGACGCTTTTGAGCTCCCATCAAATTGCCACCACTCTGTATAGAAAGGTGATTTGAACCCCGCATTGACCCTTCTCGACTATCCAGTGAAAGTCTAGGTAGTTCTTTCAGCTTAGGCATGGATTTCAAGCTGTCTCTTGATTCAAAAGAAAAACGGTTTATCTCTCTTCCATCATAAGATAATCTTGGACTATCCCTTGAAATTGAATTCCATGAGCCATTTGCTTCATATGATGTTCTTGGAAGCTCTCTACCTTCATTGTTATAATACCAAGGTGCTTCCTGAAGTTTTGCAAGAACTCTGAGAGACTCTTTAAGATCAGCAGGCACATGTTTCTCACTGATCCCAACACCATAAGATTCGCTTACTGATTTAGAAAGCTGTAATGGCCTTGGGGAATCTTTATGCTTCATGTTTCTTCTTACCACTTCATCTTTGCCTGCAGTCTTAACTGATAATCCCCTGGCTTCTCTATACATAGAATCCTTGACCACATCCCTAAGATCAAGGCTTTGTCTCCCCAGACGTGGAGAGGTACTTGACTGGTTCATCACTGGATCCCTTGAGGGAGTTTCAGGAAAAATGATTCTATCGAAGGAAGAGGACTCTTCTTGTACTGTCTTGTTGCATTCCAACGATGATAAGGAAGACGAACAAGAGGATGAAGAAGAGGCTCTTGATGATTCTATGGAAATTCTTTGTCTCTCCTTCACACTGTTGTTTGTATTCATTTCCTGCAAGTAGTTGCAGTCTGTAAGATAAGCTTTGCATATAAAGATTAAATCACCTTATTATTTAACCATAAAGGCAAATTAAACATTTGCATTCAACTAGGTCAAGGATCAGTCTGCAACAGATTGACTGGAAATTTTACAGATGCAGAAAACCACATGAACTACAATTATTTAAAAACTCATTGTTTCTGAAAACAAAATACCATGGAGTGTTAAGGCCAGCACTCACATTGCAAGTTGTTTCAAACCCCAACCCACCAACCTGTCCTTCCCTTCTCCTCAGAAAATCAGAATAAGAGAGAATTAAGAAGACTTACAGTTGTTCCTGGACAGTATAAATCATTGGAATCTGATTCCAGGATGCCATTCTGTAAATGGGAAGTACCTGCAAATGATGCAAGGAAGCATTAGATGATCCTTTAGACTGAGATGCTATAATGTTCGAGCTCACAAAATCTAAAAAAAAAAATTAATAAAAAAAATATCTTTAACCATCAACTTGGCATGGAAAGACAAGGAATCAGCAACAAATATATAAGTAATCAATACTTGCTATCAGATAAATATGGTCAAGCTTTGGGCTAAAAAGGATATATTAAATCTGATCTATGTCTAGATATAGATGTTCGAATATAAATTCCAGGCAGAAGCATGAAGATATAGTCTTGGGAGTGTCTTACCTTGATTCATCAGTAAATAAACACAAAACAGTTGGAATCAAGAAAACTAGTTGGAGCACATGCCATTGTAAAATAAAACTTGTAAATATACATATATCATGAGAATATGCATCATCTTCCAATTAAAAACAGACCATCGTACACATGTACTTTAAAATCAGATAGAAACATAAAAATACAGATGAGACAAAGTTATTATTACAGATGGAATAGGCCAATGCCTGTAAATCTAAGGCATTAATGCAAGTTCAGCCCTATATTTATCACATCAATTAGGGTAAGCAATGAGATTATTCAATGATGATTACCTGCTGTAAGCCTCTTGTGGCTGAGGCGCCTGGCAGCAACCACGTGGTGACGATCAAACAGTTGAAAAATCCCAGTCATGCATCCTATTTGCTTCTGCAAATCTGGATTGTCATCTGCTAAAGACTGTAGAAGCTTTGCAGCCATCTTCCCCTCACCTAACAGATCTCAATACTGTCACTTCCTATAACTTCACCACACGATTGAATTACAACATGTTAGCCTCTTCCCCCAATGAAATCAGATTGCAGGGCTACTTGACAGCACCGGAACCAGTTTTTTCAGAGTGTGAGCTATGGAATATCTCAATGAATCTCCGGTGACCCAATTAAGAATCTGAGAGTTCAAATTCTCCAGAGAACTTCACCCTGAGAAACTAAAATCCAATCCAAGAGTCAAAAAAATCGAAACTCTCTTGCTTCTTCTTTCACCTTTTACCTTTTCTTCTCCTTCAATAATATGCAGACTCCACATAAATTAAGCTTTCACCAGCAGACAATGGCACTTGCCATATTGCCAAATACTGATGATATCGCACTACCAAAAGTAGAATTGGAAAAAACTCAAGCAATTTCCCTCTGCATACAAACAAGGGCCCCGTGAATCGTTATCAGAACCAGTTGTTTTGCCATCTATTTACAGTTCAAATAGCATTCACTTAACCAAAATCGTATCTTTTGCAATCAAAATTTCTAATGCAAAGACTATTTGCTGGCTTTTCCAAGAATTCCTCAAAAGTCTCAATTTTTTTTCTCAACAAATCAAAAGTACATGAAAAAAGAATGTACCCAGAAAACAAAATCAACTGAATGTATATTTAGGTCACCTCATTAGTCTCCACTAGCAAACCAGAGAATGCTATGTATTAAAACCCATCATAGAACCAAAAACAAAAGGAGGAGACCCAACACTCCATTTACAATATGCAAACAATACCAACTGTTGCAGCAACAACAGCTTCAGTTTCTACAAGACAATGAAGCCAGAGAAGAAAATCTGTAGAAAGGAATCTCTGCAGATCCAAGAAGAGATAGATGTCTTACTGTTCCTAATAATAAAAAAAAAAAAAAAAAAAAAAGGAAGACAGCTAGAAGAGGCAGGGGAGTTGTTTTACCAAGTAATGTGCAGATGGCAAAAATAGCTGGGAATGAATTGATCTTTTTTCCTAGTTTATTTTGGAGAGGAAGGATAGAGAAGAGAAGGTTTCTGGGTCTGAGTGTTTATGTGTGGGTCAGATGTCATCTAGGCTCTATCTCCCTTCCATGTGGGATGAGTATGTGGGTGGGTCTATACTGTCTGGTGGCATGTGATTTTGTCAGGAGAGAGAAGATTCCGGAGTGGATTTCTTCAATGGAAAAGAGATGAAAGGCAAAGAAGCATTACTCCTCTCCTCCCACCTGCTAAGTCCAAGTGGCCTTCGACCCAAAAAAAAAGTCCAAGTGGCCTCCCCTCAAAGCCTTGTCAGCTTCTGGTCTTCCCCTACAGATTCTCACATTTACCCTCAAACCTCCATGAGATGAGATACTGAGCATATATATATAAACCCACATCCAATGAAACATATTTTTCTAAAGAAATAGAGAAGACATTCTATCACCAGCTGCTAAAACCGAGTAAAATAAACGGGTGCTACAAGGAAATGGGGGAAGGGGAAGGAATTGATCTCTCGAATAGCATAAGTCTAGGGAGTCGTGTCAATGATTTATACTTAACTAAAAAAGCCAACTTGGAAAATGGGGGGTTTTGATTAAATTAAAGATTTGGGTTTTGAAAAACGAGCAAGAATAATATTGGGTTTTGGACATTCTTTATTGTCTTTGCGTCTTTGCTTACCAAAACAATAATTTAAGGGAATTTTGTGTTGCACACATGATGAGCCTTTATCATTAGAATTTGTTAATGTTGGTCAAAGAAACACAAGCATTTGGAGAGCTAGGAAAGAATAATGGTTAAAATACTAAAAAAATGGTCCCTAAACTTTCAAATTTGTACCAAATAGTTCTTAAACTTTGAAAAGTGTTGAAATTATCCATGAACTTGAATTTTCATACCGATTTTTTTTTTTTTTTCCTTCCACTATCAAAAGTGTCAATTGGGATGTTAAGTTGCCACAAAATCATTCCTTTTTTTTTTTAAACCATAAAAAAGAAAACAAAAAGAAAGGTGTTAAGCAGTGTTTTTGGACTTGGCCTAGTGGTTGACCCGTTTTGGCCATCGAGTCCGATTCAACCAGTTAATTGGTTCACTCAATCGGTCCAACTGATCAACTAAAAAAGCACTTTTTTTGACATTTTTATTAGATTTTACTCTTGTATATTACTTCACTCTATTCTTAAAAAATAGTCATCATAAGATCAATTTGGAGATCATCATTTAAGCCATTTAAAATAATAAATTTAATTAAATACATATAATTTTTAAGATCTAAACTAATTAAAATATATAATATAAAATAAGTTCATCAAGCATGATGATAAAGAAGAACTCAATTTTAAACTAAATTCACTACAAAATAAGTCTTAAATATAAAACAAAGTCCCAAACCAAATCCACAAATTCACTACAAAATAAGTCTTGAATATATATATATATAAAGTCCCAAACCAAATCCACAATAAAGACAAATGTCAAATAGATGAACCATCATTACTAATTTATTTATTTTGACCTAAATGAGGAGCATCTACATCAAAGTAAGCATGTAGCTCTTGGAAGTCATACTTACTATCACTATCTTCAAATCCATCACCAATTGTTTTTAATTCAATCCCTTTACTAGAACCACCAACTTGCCCTCCTCAATACCTTCAAATTGAAATTATAGAATCATGCAACAAAAACAAATGTAAGAAATAAGTCTTAATGGTCTATTCATCAAATGATATAACGATGTAATGTATTAAAAATTAAATTAACTAATGACTAACTTTCTTTTTGATTTATATGACAAATTGGAATTGCTCCTTCATTATAAATCAGATTCTCCAATTCGTCATAATCACTAATTCGAGAATCATCTTCTTTCATTATCTAACAATCAACATTGTCTATGCTCTCATAATCAATAAGATCAAAGCAAGTCTTCTTCTTGCCATCAATCCTGTAATTCAAGATTCTTAGAGATTAGCAAAAGATTTAATTAATAAAGTTTAAGTAGAAAAAAAAACTATAATTTAAATAAACATAAGATAAAATACCTATTTTTCAAACACAAATTGTAATGCACATAGAAAAGATCATTTAATCTTTGATGCTCCAATCTATTTCTTTTCTTGGTATGTATCCTTTAAAAAACACTCCAATTTGTTTCACAATCCAAAGATGATGAAGTTTGGCTGAAGAGTTTAATAGCCCAATTTTTAAAAGTTGAAGCACTATATCTAAAATATTTCCACCACTCATCTATAAAAAAGATAAGAAATATATAGAATGTTAGAAAATTTATATCAAAAATATTTTTCATAAAAAAGTATTAAAATTATAAATTAAAACTTGGAATCCTACCGGGTTATCTTTTGAAGATTTAAGTGCCCTTGGACGAGCAAACTCTCCAATCTCTTCTCATACAACTCACATTCATTCTAAAATTTTGTCTTTTGAGAAGGAATTTTTGCATCCACAACATCCATAAACCCTTTCATCACTTCTTGCTTAGTACAAAAATGTCTTTATCATAAAAGAAAGAAGGATTCAAGTAATAGGTAGCAGCATGGATACTTTGACAAAGTGCCTATCCCACCTTTCCTTGATAATTTTTGTATAAAGTTTGTATAAAGACTTTCTATTCATCAACATAGTCTTCATTGCCTTTCTAGTCCTATACATGTCATTATAGACATAGCCAAGAGAAGGCATTTCATCACTATCAACAATTTTAAGCAAGCGCATAGAGGGTGCCACAATTTTCACAAGAAGTTGACAACTACTCCAAATTTTGTTATCTAAGACAACAACAACATCTTTTGCCTTTTGATCTTTGTAGTATCTAGACTCTCTAAATTCCAAGTTAGTAACCAATACTTGCAAATCATGCTTGTGGTCAAGAATGCTTTTCAATGCAATAAATGTAGTGGCAAAACGTGTGGGCCTTGGTTGTATAATTTCAGTCCACCCTTTTCTTTTCCTTAGCCAAGCTAAGAGAAAAGCATGATTGTATACAAATTTAGTCGCCAATGGTGCACTACGTGCTAATTTACTCACAACATCCAACTTGTCAATATCACTTAATATCAAATTCAACCAATGCGCAACACAAGGAGACCAAAAGATAGTTGAATATGTGTCATTTAGCATTTTTCCAACTTTTTTATAATTAGCTACATTATCAGTGACCAAATGGTCAACACTACTAGCATAATAAACAAGAAAATTAATCAATTGTTTATTTTTTTGATCCTGCCAACCATCACCCATGATTGTACAACCAATTTCTTCCCAAACTTTCCTATAAGAATCAATCAAGAACTGAACCTCCTTCTTTAAATCTTTTAAAAGACTAATTCTCACAACATGATAAGTTCGTCCTTTATAACCAGGATCGATTACAACAATAGCATCAATCATAGGTTGAAAATATGAAGAATTAATGGCATTTATAAAAATGCAACTATCAAAGAAGAACGAAGCAACAACTAAATCAGCTTGATGGATATCTTTTATACCTACCATTGTACTCCTAATTGATGGCTGAGATCCAAGAGTTGTTCTCAGGGCGAAGTAATTATGCAACCACTTGCCTTTCCTTTTTTACTATTTTCTATAGTAGTTGCTATTCCTTTTCCTTTAGCTTGTGAAGGTGGAGCATGAATCTCTTACAAATCAACATCACCAAATGGATTATCTTCCCATTGATTTTTACCTTGCTTCTTGATTTCTTCAAATTCCTTCAAACTTTCTTTCATTCAGAAATGAACATCATGAGACACCTTATCATATTTTTTCACTTCTCCACCCTTTCCAACAAGGTGATGTTTCATCGTATTTATTCCTCCTCTTCTGATAAGTTTTTAGCAATGCAAGCATTGTAATGTTTTTTTTTGTGCCTTCAACTTCAACACAACGCTCCCATGCAAAATCAACTTTTCCTTTACATGATTGCTGTGACTGTGAATGAATAGATGCAGTAGTTGAATTTTGTTCAGAAAATGACATTTTCCTACAATTTACACAAATATACAAAATTATTAAGAAAACCTCCAACTTTAAGAGTCCAATCCAAGTGTCATAAATAAGAATTTGTTTGAATTGAAGATGCAATATTGAAATTTAAAATCAAAGCATAGTAGATTATGAAAAAAAAAAATCAAGAATGACAAATTAGGATATTTATAAATAATTTTTCCAAATCTTACACCAATACTGAGTAATAAAGAATTAATTTTTATCCATAATTAACAAGTTTGTAGAATATGTAAATTTGATAACGAAAGTCAATGTGAAGCTAAATATCTTACTACCAACAAGAAAGGAGGAGGATTGCTCACCTTCCTTTGTAGTGGTAAAAACAGAACAAGAATTGTAAAGGTGAGCTGTTGCAGAGGAGATGAGGCAAATTCTATTGTTGCTTCTATTCAGTGGAGGAAAGAGAGAAGGGTGAATGGTAGAGGAGAAAGGCACACGCAAATCTATTTTGTTGATAGAAGAAGGAGAGGATAGTGAATGGCAAAGGAGAGAGGCAGATAGAAATCTGTTTTGTCGGTGGAAGAAGGAGAAGAAGTTGAGCAGCGAAGGGCTGAGATTAAGGAGGTGGTTGTGGAGTCGCTGACGGGGATGTTTGAGATCAGAGAGGCAGTTGGTTGACGATGGTGGCTATTTGTCACTTTGCTTGCTCTGTTTTGTTTCTGCTTTTTGCCTCTAGGTTTTGCTTTTGCACAGAGATGAAGGGCTAAAAGCTGAGTTGGGTTTTGCTTTCTGATTTTGCTTCTGAGCAAAGACAAAGGGTTGGAAGCCACTGACGGAGGTGGCTGAGATTGGGGAGGTAGTTGACCGATGGTGGTGAATGGTGACTATTCGTCTCTTCCCTTGCTTTCTTCTGTTTTTAATTTCTAGTTTTGGGTTTTGGCTTTTGCTTTTGCACAAATCGATCGTCTGAGTTTTTTTTTTTTTTATTGATCTGATATTTTCATCTTTTAATTTCTAATTTAAGGATACTGTTTTTATTGTAATAACATCAAAAAAAAAAGGGATAAAATGGGTAAATTACATTAAAAATTTTTTAAAAATTATTTAATTAACATTAAAAGCCCAATTGATTTAGCCTG